TTTACAAAGCTAAGTAGTTGAGTATATTCCTAAAAATGTGCATGTAATCCTTCAGGGTAATGGTATGAAAATAAAGATACTAAATTTATAATATATTACATCTGGAATTTGCTCCATTATGTAAAGTATTCATTGCTTGATTGCCTAACATTCAAGTGCTGGAAATCAGTCACATTTTAGAAGCTTGCATATGACTAAAATATTGCAGAGTATCTACTTTCTGTAATATTTGCATAATGTTATTACTATTGCAAGAACAGCATCTTTTGAAAGGGTTGTGGAATGGCACAAGTTTGCCATCTACAGTTTATGATCTTTCATAGAAATCTTACGCAGTATCTTACTGATTTTTCAAAAGAGGGTACACCAACTTGTTCTTAATTATTTACCAAGCCTATTTTGTCACATGTCCCCAGGCCATCAAAGGAACCAGGATGGATCTAAACCTTCCTAACCATTTCATTAGAGTCCATAAACTGAAAATAATCCCAGATGAGAGTATAAGGCTATTTCAGACTCTATCTTGGGCAGGTTTATCAGTAAAGTGTTGTACAAAAGCATCATGGTGGCTAGATGATAGCTGCTTCTGTTATCCTTGTCAAGAAGGCTTTGCATAATTTTAAAAAGATGTTGTTGGACAATACCCTGTTGTAGTAAGGGTGGAGAATTGCAAATGTTACATTGTCCTTAATTGCATGGTATAGCCTCAGACATGAGCTCTTACCCTCACATTCTGTTTTCAGGGATTGTTCTTCTCTATTTCCTGAAGTTCTTCAGTAAGCCAAAGTGCCTCTGAATCCACAAAAAGGCTATTGAGGGCAATCTTATTAAATGCTTGACCGACCTTAACACTTGACAGAATTATCTGCCAGATTGCTAGGAAAATCCCTAAGCATCTTCTGGAACCTTTCTGGATTTATCAGGTGCCGAGAGAAAATAGCTTTTGCTATCCTGGAGAAGTTTTGGGTGGTGACCAGGGTCACTTGAACCAGGAAACGTTTCAACCATGGAAAAGGACTCATTAATGTCCTCCCTGTTCATATTATATAGCAACTGCTCCAAGGAAAAACTAGGTCAAATAGGCCTCAGCTTATGAAAATCAGTTCTGAAACTAGCTGGGATGGGTCTATAGTTGTCATGGTGGCTATGAAATCCTTAACCAGACTGACGGATAGGGTACAGAAATTGAAATTCCGCAGCAGTAATAATGGTACATCAGTATGGTGACACTGCAAGCTCCAGATTGAGGACCTTGGTCAGAGCTAAGCTGTTGCTAAAGATCATTACAGTGACCCCTTTCCTTCCTTGATGTCACAGGACCTGGAATCCAGGAAGCACAAGTGTTTAGTATCTCCAACATTACTGAGCCAAGTCTTGGAAACATATAGCAGATCCTCTTGTTCTCTTGTTAAGAGCCGTGGTGGCACAGTGGTTAGAGTGCAGTATTGCAGGCTATATCTGTTGACAGCCTGCAATTTGGCAGATCGAATCTCACCAGGCTCAAGGTTGACTCTGCCTTCCAGTCTTCCGAGGTGGGTAAAATGAGGACCCATAATTGTTGGGGGCAATATGCTGACTCTATAAACCACTTAGAAAACAGAAAAACAGAATAACAGTTGGAAGGGACCTTGCACATTGTTGGCTCGTATTTAAATGGTTGTACACTAGGACTCCAAGATCCCTCTCACAGTTACTACTATTGAGCGAGGTACCACATATACTGTACCTGTGCATTTTGTTTTTCTTGCCTAAATGTAGAACATTACTTTTTTCACCATTGAATTTCATTTTGTTAGATAGCGCCCAATGCTCAAGTCTGTCAAGATCCTTCTGTATCTTAAGCCTATCTTCCGGCATGTTGGCTATTCCTGTTCGCTTGGTGTTGTCTGCAAATTTGATGAGTTTCCCCATCTATTCCCTCGTCCAAATCATTGATGAAGATGTTGAAGAGTACTGGGCCCAAAACAGAGTCTTGGGGTACCCCACTGCATACTTCCCTCCATGTAAATGCAGTTCCATTGAGGACTACATGTTGAGTGCAGTTGGTCAGCCAGTTATGAATCCATCTGGTAGTGATGCTGTCTAACCCCACATTTTTCTATTTTATCTAGTAATAGGTTATGGTCTATGTTGTGTTTGGATTATAGTCATTAACTGAGGCAAGGATGTCAACGTAACATCGGTTTATTTCAGGCAACAGCAAAACATTAGAACACTGAACTGTCAGTCTATCTGACAGCTCGCCTTTTTATACTTGGCAAACAGAACAGCATTAATCAATCAGGAAACGAGTAAACTCCCGCACTTAGCATAACCCCGTCCCAACCAATCAGGTGCAGGCATTTCCATCGCTATGGTAACGCGCCGACACAACACTTCTTTCCCCCTGGATGGCGCATGCGTAGTCCACAAGGTACGCCGGACGCCTGCGTATTCGCCCCAAACGTCGCAATTCGGGGTCAGTGGCCTGCCCTTTGGAATGCGGCTCCGCCGGGCATTGGAATGACAGCTCATTTGGAACTTTGGCTGGAACTGCTCCTTCAGGTGAGTCTGGTGGTGGGCTAGCCACTTTGGAATTGCTGTCTGCGTCGTTGTTTGCCCTGGTTAATGAGATGGGGCTGCGCGTCTTCTTGTTGTTATATCTGTCTCAGGTTAAAATGGCAGGCTATACGGGAGGGAACTGGCGAGTAATGATTCCTCAGTTTCTCTCGTAACGCCTCCCAGGGAGCCGTGTGTACTGGAAGAGGAGCGACTAATGCCCTTGCCGTTGCGAATACTTCTGGCCCACAAGCATTTAGAAAATGAGCGCGCTTTCGGCTGCTTGAAAGTTCAGTGAATTCATTCACTTCTAAGTAACACTCGAATCTTTCCTCATACGCCTGCCACGTCTCTGCAGCTGCGTTAAATGGGGCGAATGTAGGAGAGGCCATATTCCTGTCAGGGGGTTTGTATTTTACTTTACCTCAGTGCGGCCGCTCAGAATAACATTCACTTCTTCCGTCGCCTCAAAATCCCATCCTCGTCGCCTCAGTTAATGACTATAATCCAAATACAACAAGTGGCGACGAGGATGGAATTTTGAGGCGACGGAAGAAGTGAATGTTATTCTGAGCGGCCGCACTGAGGTAAAGTAAAATACAAACGAACCTGACAGGAATATGGCCTCTCCTACATTCGCCCCATTTGCCAAGTATAAAAAGGCGAGCTGTCAGATAGACTGACAGTTCAGTGTTCTAATGTTTTGCTGTTGCCTAAAATAAACCGATGTTACGTTGACATCCTCGCCTCAGTTAATGACTATAATCCAAACACAACAGTCTACTTTATCAGATGCCTTACTGAAGTCCAAATAAATTATATTGACAGCATTCCTCTGGTTCACTAATTTTGTCACTTTGTCTAAGAATGCAATAAGATTAGTCTGGCTTGATCTGTTTTTGACAAACCCATGTTGGCTTTTGCTTATTACTTTGTTTGCTTCTAAGTGTTCGCTGATTCGTTGTTTGATTATCTTTTCCAGAATCTTCCCTGGTATTGAGGTCAGGCTGATAGGTCTGTAGTTTCTTGGATCTATTTTTTCCCCCTTTTTTTGAATATGGGAACTATATCAGTTCTTTTCCAGCTTTCCGGCAGTTCCCCGGTGCTCCAGGATCTTTGAAAGATATAATTCAGTGGTTCTGAGATCTCATCTGCCAGTTTAGAGAGGGCTGGAAAGCACTGTGAAGTGGTATATAAATCTAAGTGCTATTGGTATTGCTATTCATCTGTCCCCAAGTCATAGATGAATATGGTCTTATTAACAGGGAATCTCAATGCTTAGCAGCAACAACTGCAGAACAAATAGTAATTGTGGGAAAGTAATTTGAAGCTTAATACATTCTTCTCCATAAACAAATACAAGTTACATTTATGTACATTCTTTGTGAGAGTTATTAGAATCTATCACAGGATTATTTAAAAAAAACAAACATGAATTTCTCCTAAGTACTGATTCTTATTCTCCATTTGCCTAGGGTTGATATGTTTGTTTTTATAATTTTTATTTTAATCTGGATTTTATATTTTTTAAATTGTCTATTTTTATATTTGTTATTTGATTGCTGTGCATCTCCCAAAGTCACATGTTGTGAGATGGACAGCTATATAAATTCAATTAATAAAATAATAACAGTTATAACGATATTTAGTTGTGATTACTTTTAGGTTCTATTGATTCCAGACAGTCTATTATTTCAAGATAATAAAAACTAGTCTAATGGCACAGCAAAGCCTGATAAACCAGTTGCCTTATCAGTATGTAAAAATATTACTTGTTGCAGTTCATTTCATGAAAGAGCTTGTGAGAATAAAAATGTTTCAAAGTGCTGGCTAAATGATAGTAAAAGGGAGAATTAGGAAACTTCATTGTCTAGAGAGATTCAGAAAGCTATCTTTCCCCTTTTCTTTTTGAACTTTTCCCTATCTTTACTTGGAGGTATTTGAGCTTTTTAAAACTTGTTTCCATAACTGTTGTACATTTCCTGTAAATATGAACTGAAGCAAAGTTTTTGAGGTTGCAAGTTTAGGCAACAGATGTGTCCTGAATGTGAGAACTAGAACTTTTAACCCCCATTGACTTCACCACACATTTGTTTCTTCCTGTATTGGACAGATGTACTTTATTTTAAAGTTCTGGCTGGAAATAGGAATATAGGAAACTCCCTTGTACAGAAGAGTCACCTATTATTTTTATTTCTGAGGTGAAACCTATAGAGGTTCTGGAAGCTTTCTGCTACATAAAAATGATGCTATCCAATGTATTAGATATTTACTTCACAGTATGGTAGCTTCTAGTTAAAAGTAATAATCTAAATAAAGAAATGGAACAGGGAACTGGTGACCTTGAAGAAATGGACACCATGTTGCCTGATAGTTATTTTCCTTAACCTGGCGTTATCCAGATAGAGGTAGTCCTTGAGATAAAACAGATTACCTAATGAACATTGACTGCTGATCATTTAACATTGACAGCTGATCACAGATCACCGCTGACCGCTAATGAACATTGACCACAGATCACTTAATGAGAGGACCACTGGTTTGAAAGACGGGTCAAAGAGGCCATCTATGTCAAAATTGAAACAGCCCTTTCTCAACAGAGGAGGAGGGATACGACATCATCTATCTCCAGTCTACATCACAGTCCTTTCAACAGTTCCAGAAGGCTCCACACCCATTTGCACTACTCAGGTGACCCTGACAACACAGATAAACCTCCAGGTGGCCTTAATGACTTGCCAAAATAATGCAAATGACCATCTGTCTGCAATCTGACCATCTGAATATAAATCCTTCCATTCCCCACCATCCAGTCAGAGCTGAAGAAGTTTCTTGGATGAGAAGCGAAATGTCTTCAAAGAAAAACTAGAAAGTCCAGTTGCCTCTTTAAAAAAGCACCTTTCGGATAATGAACATTCAGTTACAATAGACACCACAAAATTACATACAACCCTGTTTGAAAGTTAGAATGGCTGCAGCATCCCTCCTGTCATTCATCCTCATGACTGCCCACAGAGACTAGTAGCCCCGCCTCTCTCCCCCCATCTTACCCTGCCAGGATCCAACAGCACTTGGGCTTCCTCCCACATGCCCATCACCCATTGCACTTATCCTTTGAAGCTCTCTGGTGCTCCTGGTAGGGAAGGAGGGCAGGGCACGTGTTCCTGGACCACATGAAGGTAGCATGAATGTGGTCGCCATTTTGTTACGCTTGCTTGTGGCTGGGGACAAAATGGCAGCCTCCAGACAAACTGCTTTATTTTGCTGCCTTAACAATGTCTACACAGAGCTGCTAAAACGTGTAGACCTCATTAAGGCAGCAAAATGAAGTGGTTTGTCCCTGGGTCACATCGCAGCAACCTGAACTCAGCCGCCATTTTATGGGTGAGACAAAATGCTGGCTGTTTTTGGAACCGTGTCATGCAGCTGCAGAAAGAAGCAAGTGCTCTGGAAGGCCTTGGAGCTCTTCTAAAACTAGGTGAGGAGGAGGATGTTTGGCCTGGTGGGGTGGGAATTGGGCCTAAAGCCTGGTGGGACCAAGATGGGTATGGGAAAAGAATTGTGGGGGCCAGATGGGTATGGGAAAAGAATTGTGGGGGCTCAAGGGGCAGCACAGGGTGTCTTGGGGTGTGTGGGGAAGTCCTTGGGAGGGCCAGGAGAGGTAGGTCTGGGCCTGTGCTAGGTTTCCAAGCCCCCCTCCCAATCCCTGAGGCATCCTGTGCTCCACTTTAAAGACCCGGGCATTTGTTTAATTATTAATTGGGAAGAACAGGAACAGGGGGGTCATTAGTTGAGATGCTTCACTAACAACCCTCACAACATGTGACCGTAATGGCAATATCCATTACAGTCATATTTTGAGGACTATCTGTACAATGGAATACAAGTCCCATAATCTTTAGTGAGCCTGGTTGGTAGGATAATGGGAATAGTGGTCCACGATACACCTGACATTGTTGCTTTACAAAACACTGGGCTTAACTATGGCTATATTATGCTTCATGGGCTCCATATAAAAGATTTTTGTGCTGATGCACATTTTCCTTTTGTAATGGAAGTATACAAAGGAAGCAATATATGTTGTTGGCACTTGCCTAGAAGAGTACATTTCTTGAAATTTTGGCTAGAATTGTCTTGTTCTACCAGGTGTGTGCATCTGCGAGAAAGTAAAAGCCACAGTGCTTATGACCTCTCCATTTGGTGAGTGAAGAGAGTTTTGTGTTGTTTACCTTTGGTTTCTTTCCATACAACTGGAAAGATTTGCAGTTTTGTCCTGTTTATTGCCTGTTTGGAACACATAGGAGAGGTAGAGCTGAAATCTATCTAGTGTATTGAAAATTAAAAAAAGAAAATTGCTAGAGAACAATATATTGCTATATAGTCTACATTCTTTTAGATTTATTTATGGAAGAAAACCAGAAAGGGTCCATAGCCCTGCTTCTTTAAAGGGCTATCTCTGTTTATATGAGATCAAAAAATTGTAGCTGAATTGAAAAATTCAAAATTAATTTAAATTGAATCTCTGTCTGAAAGGGATGAGGAGTTAATTGCTCATTTAACTCCCAACAATCCTAAGTGATCAGTGAGAGAACTGATGTGGCGTTCTCTAGTTAAGATGTTGGACTGGTAAGAGATTCTAATGCAGCCTTGCCAAGGAATCTGAATCTGACTTTGGGCCAGTCACTATCTTTTAGTCCAGTTTATCTCACAAGATTGTTACGAGGCAGAAGAGATCTTGTACAATGCTCAGATACATGCACATATCAATTAAAATATTAAACATAACAAAAAATATAGGGCAGTATAGATCAATCCCCTTTTGATGTATACATGTACTCGATTGTAAATTCTCTTCAATTCTATGGTTCTTTTAAATAAAGAAGCAATTTTAAATTATAAAGCACATTGTACATTTGATTTTAGAATGTTTAAATCAGTTGATTTTTAGCTATTATGTTCCATACTTGCAAGCTTTAATAATATTTGTTGGAGCCTTAAACGTAACAGTTTAGGATAGTATACCTGGAAATAACACTTTTGGTTATTTCCGTATAATCCCTATAATCCGTATAATCCCTTTCCCTAAATGTGCCCTTGAACCTCTAATGGGCCTACAAAGTTTATTAGATAATAAAATCAGTGGACAGTTAAATCCAGTGCTTTATTTAGTACATATATATACCAAATACATATTCTGTAAGAATACCAGAACAAGTTCCCAAAATTCCAAATGTGTCTTCTAGACCAAAAGATTATTTATGAACAAGGTTAGAAGTTGCACACATTGCATACAGGTAAATATTAAATGGTATGTGTGTGTGTGCGTGTAAATAAAATGGGGATGCACAAGGAATATTAAAAAAATCTTGGGCAGTACTGGATTAAGAGGTACTGCTTCATTATGACACATAATATTTAGAGCACAACACTGTACTGAAGCTTCTGAATAAAAGGGACAATAGAGCAAAATATGGCCACCTTTCTGCAGATTTTTGAGGATTAGACTGCTAATCTCCATATTTGACCTACTTAGGTAGTTAGATAATGCTCTTGGTCAGGTAGAATGGTCTGTGGAATAAAATGTATGTGATTGACTCCCCAGCTAGACAAGATCAAAGCTGATGTTAAATTAAGAGTTATTTATTTCACTTCAGCATAGACGGTGGTGAATCATTGAACCCTGCTAATGTGAAGGCTGTTCTGATGTGGCATAAACAGTATTAGTAAAATACTTAGCTGGTACCCTGTTCCCCTGAAAATAAGACACCCCCTGATAATAAGGCCAGTTGGGCTTTTGAGCGCATGCGCTAAAATAAGCCTCCCCCTGAAAATAAGCCCTCCTCCAAAATATTTAAATGCAGAGCTGGAAATCAGGTAAGATGGCAAGAGGAGTCCCATCTTGCTCCACGTGCCCCAAAATAATAAGACCTCCCTGAAAATAAGGCCAAGCGCTTATTTCAGGGTTCAAAAAAAATAAGACAGGCTCTTATTTTTGGGGAAACAAAATGTTTTATAAATACCACTATTATTATTTTGGAAGATTAAATAATCCATTTTTTTTCTGAATTTGCTTGATCTCTGCATTGGCATTTTGGATGCCAAGTGGGATCAAAAGTTCAGCAGAGAAACCACAGTGTCTAAGTCTCAAATATACGTCTTTTTCCCCAGGATGATATACTCAGTGGGAAAGGGATTTTGAATGGAAAGCCAATTTTAGCCAGAGTTAGCCATCTTAGCAGTTTCATGCCTGGCTCTACGTAGACTAGCCCAGATTTCAGGCACAAGGGAACTGCAGACATCAGGGAAGAAGGCTGTTAGGAATTTTGATTGTATTGTTTTTTACATGTTTTAGAACTTTGTAAATAGTAATCTGTGAGCAATAAAGCATACAACCAAAAAGGCTGTATGAGTCTAGACTTTCTTTTGGCTTGAAAATTCCTTATAAATATCGTGTTTCCCCCAAAATAAGACCCTGTCTTATATTTTTTTGAAACCCAAAATAAGCGCTTGGCCTTATTTTCGGGGAGGTCTTATTATTTTGGGGTGCATGGAGCAAAATGGGACTCCTCTTGCCATCTTACCTGAATTCCAGCTCTGCATTTAAATATTTTCGGAAAGGGCTTATTTTCTGGGGGAGACTTATTTTAGTGCATGCGCTCAAAAGCCCAATTGGGCTTATTATCAGGGGATGTCTTATTTTTGGGGAAACAGGGTAGTAGATCAGGTTAGCTCCCTCCTTATTAATGTTCTGATATCTATAAATCCAGAGATATTTCAGACAGATATTCCTTGCAGTTATCATTTTATTCTGCCATTTTAACTTCTGTTTCTGTTTGTATTCCTATATCTGATTGACACTATTTTTATAGTTTTTAGAGAAGATTGTACCATGGTTATATTAATTGAAGTTTAAATTCTATGAAAGTCACCAAGAGTCTTAATTGTGGCAGGGTAGATATTCAAGAACAAAAGGCGAAAAGACTTTGTTAGACTTTTTTTAAGCAAGAGTTTTATACACTGCTCAAAATAATAAAGGGAACATAAGCAGAAGACATCCGAGATCTGAATGAATGAAATAGCCTTATTAAATACTTTGTTTGTTACATACAGTAGTTTTGTGTTCCCTTTAGTTGTTTGAGCAGTGTATAAACTACTGTATGTAAAAAACAAAGTATTTAATAAGGCTATTTCATTCATTCAGATCTCGGATGTCTTCTGCTTGTGTTCCCTTTATTTTTTTGAGCAGTAGATTTAGCTTGATTCTCAAGTTTTGTGAAGAAGGTAATAAAAAGATAGCTGGAGGAGAAATAAATAAATAGGAATGAAAAGATGGAAGGCAGAATTCCCGAGAGTTTCTTGCTACTTACGCAAAGTAAAAAAAAAAGTAACTATTCTAATGTAGCAGGACACATTAAAAGCTAAATGTTTTCAAAATCTCAGTCTTTTGAAACATGTCATACCCTAGTACCGTGATGGCGAACCTGTGGCACGCGTGCTACAGGTGGCATGCGGAGCCACATCTATGGCACCCTAGCTCAGCTCCAGCACGCATGTGCGTGCTGGCCAGCTAATTTTTGGGCCTTCCAGGCCCACCAAAAGTCAGTAAACAGGCTGTTTCCGGACTCTGGAGGGCCCAGGGGAGGGGGCGAAGACCATTTTCGCCCTCCCCAGGCTCCAAGAAAGCCTCTAGAGCCTGGGGAGGGCAAAAAACGGGCCTACCAGGCCCACCGGTAACCTTTTTGCCGTTGCATGCCAAAACCGGGGGAAGGGGGGGTAGGGGTCATGCACGCATGCACAGGGGGGCGGGGAACGGGGGGTATTGAATTATGGATGTGGGCACGCATGCGCGCAACCCCCACGCACTCCTCCCGCTTTTGGCATGTGACGGCAAAATGCTTTAGTGTAAACAAGATATTAGACTTTGCTAGTAGAATATATTTATTGACAGTTGTATTTCAGTAGATACCATACACAGGCTTTGAGATTTATATATATATTCCTTGTGTCACATGTATGTATATAAAAATACATCTATGCCACTAGCTGAAGTGATTATTTAATGCAGTTTGCAAGGAGTTAAAAAAGCATAAAACTGCAAGAAAACTGCATTGCTTTGCTTGCAGAGCTGAATGGAATGGCATGGCATTACAGTCAAGTGTTAAATTACAGTATTTCTTATGTAAGGAAAATAAAGGTTTTACCAAGCATTAACAAAATTGGTAGAGAGAAAATATTTCTTCACAGGAATTAGTAAGCAGTTAGTATGTGGACTGTACCATAGCAATCATAGCATGTGTATTTTCTTTATAAGTTCATGTATTAGTTTTGTGTGGGAAGCTCCAGCTCACTGCAGCTTCCCAAAACAGCTGTATGCAAGAATATATATATGTCTGTGATCACATTACAGTTTCTGTGCTAGTTTCATATTGTTTCATACTTGGAATAGGTTTTCATCTAGCAATTTGGAAATGTTAACAGTCCTAAGAGAAACAGCTGCTCTGTGGCCAGCAGGAACAATTTCTTGTTGGACTTGATTTAAGATAAGAAACAGATTATTTTTTTGAGTTTAAGATATATGAATGAGAAAAATTGTGGGTATTCTACTCTATGCTATGTTATAGGGAAATTAACGATGTTATTACTTATTAACTCAGACAGTTTATTTAAGTTACAGATTGACACAGTTCAGAATAGTTGGTTTGTTGTTTATTTTAGAACCTACTGCAACTTTGGCACATATGTAAGCAATGCTTAACTTAATTCAAAAAAATAATACTAGAATTTGGGAATAGGGAATTGCCATTTCTTGTTGGTGTTGGTCTTATCTGGAAAATGGCACCAATGGAGCCTGGATTTCCTAAGGCCTCTTAAAAAGGGATTTGTATAGAGACAAATATACAGAGAATCTCTAGGTGATTCAGTTACAGTTTGGTTGAATTAAATTAAAGTAATTAATTACCAAAGAAAGCAAATGAATTATTTCCCAGCAGTTGGCAGTAGTTTAGAATATGAATTGGAATGACTAACCTGTTTTGTTGATTATGTATTAAAATTATATCCATAGGTTCACAGGCAGCAATTGATTAAAAATAAGGTTTTGATAAGCAAGGTATTAAATGCAGTATGTATGTACCCCGTACCAATCAAATGATGCTTAAAATAAAGAACCAATGAATTTTTTTCCATGATATTAATTAATTTGAGCAGAAGCAAATTATAATTCCCAGGACATAAATCATTTTCTCAGCATAAAGCTACAAGAATAGTGTTCTTGACAGCAGAGACCAATATTTCAGCAAGCTGTTTGATTAGAATAGAGAATAAAACATTGCTTATCTTCCATCTTATGCATTTTTTAGCCAGCGTTTGCCAGAAGGTTAGGTCCTTGGATGGATAACTTGTAATGTGTTGGCAGAATTTCAAACTCAATATAGTTTAGCAACACGTAAAAGCCCCTCCCCTCCCCCACCCCACTAATCAATAGGTGTTGGTCCTTAGAAGTAGGCAAGATCAAGAAATAGAGGCAACAGATATTATAGGAATACCATATATTATTATAGTGCAGAATAATGCCGTGTTTCCCCAAATGTAGGACATGTCCAGATAATAAGCCCAATTGGGATTTCGAGTGCATGCCCCCCCAAAATAAGCCCCCCCAAAAATACTTAGATGCATGCACAGCTGCTGCGCAAACAATCAGGTCAGAGCTGCTGCTGCTGCCGCCCGAGATCAGGCCAGATTCGGTGAGCCAGATGCACCGCTGCCACTCGGGAGAAGAAGAGAGAGGAGGCACTGTGAGAGAGTTCATTTCTGACTTTTTCTCCTTCTGGGCGGCAGCAGCGCGTTCAGCTCCTTGAATCTGGCTTTCTGCTCTCGGCCAGCGAGGGGGAGTGGCAGGTGGGGAGGGGTGGGGTAGCGGAGAAGCAAGACACATGGAGCAAGATGGGACTCCCCTTGCCGTCTCTTCTCCCCCCCTTGCCGGGTATGGCAGGAGCTGGAAGACATGGTGAAGCGAGATGCACGTCTTACCTGACTTCTAGCTCCTGCCATGCCCGGTCAGCATGCGATGGAGGAAAGTCCATCTGTCCGTGGGGAAGCGTGGCCAGCAAGAGTACTGCTGGTGTGGCCAGCCACTGGGGGGGGGGAAGAGACAGTTGCTGGAAGCCCACCGAGGTGCCAGCTCCCACTCGCCCCTTGAGATACTCTGTCTTGAGGTGGCTGAGGCAGGTGGCTGAGGCAGGCGCCGTGACTCCGGAAGGTGAGTGCAAACAGCTCTTACTTGTCCCGCAGGCCGGCTGAGATGGTCAGTGTCTCCTTGAGAAGGGCCCGCGCATGCACCAGCATTCCCAGGAAGTCATGGTTGAGGCGGCTCTCCTTGTGGCTCTCGTGCTCCTGGGCCTGCTGGAACTTGTTTTCCAGCTCCCCCAGCAACTTCTCCGAGTTGACGTAGGTGTCCCCAATCTGTACGGATTCCCTGCTCAGGTAGTTGCCGTAGCTTTCCTTGCCATCCAGGTCATAGCCGATGCTCTTCTGGATGCCTTCCAGCACGCGTGCCGTGTCCTCCACTTGCTGGCCCAGGAGGGTGAATTCCTCACGCAGGGTCAGAGTGGGTGCTGCCACCGCCGCCGCGGGATGCGAGTGTTCACCCTCCACATCCACTGTGCAGCGCAGGTGGTTGCTCACCCTGAAAAGCAACTGATACTTCTCCGGGTCATCGTTCTCCTTGTAGTCCCCATTGGGCACGAAATAGTGATGCAACGTCCTGTAGGACATCTCTGGATAAAGCGGGCCGTTGAAATAGCCATGGCACAAACTGATCGAACAGCTCAGCAGTCACACTGAGAGGAGCCCCAACAGCATCCTGGGGTGTGGGGAGGGAAGCTGCCCCGACACCCTAAGTGTCCCAAAATGGAGAAGGGCAAAGGCAATTCTGGTCATGCCTAGTTTCAAGTCTTCTGGTTGTGGCTGCCTTTCTTGCAAGGGTTCATTGGGATCCACTGGGAAGCTGTCACTTGACCCTTCTTGCTCCCCGCAGAGAGTTCTCCTTTACACCCGATTTGCCTGCAAGAACGTCAGGGTTTTTTTTTTTTTTTTGTGACCTGATCTTCGCCAGCAATGCTGCAGGCAAGAATCTGCCACGCCTATCTCGCTTTAGGGATAAGACCCCTGATAATAAGGCCAAGGCCATATTTCGGGGGTCAAAAGAAAATAAGACCCTGTCTTATTTTCAGGGAAACATGATAGAATCTTGAGAATTTGTCAGTTTCTCTCTGCCCCAACTTGTAATACCATCTATATGAAGCAAAATCAAGGCAGAGTTATTTTGAGTTTCTTTTTCATGCTGTCCACTTTTCTAGGCCTGAGTTATCTTACTTGTCTCCTCCCTTAATAGTTCATTGCCCTCTAGGTCAGATCTATATTGCTTCACAATATGTTACTAAGGATGCTTTCTTAAAACAAAAGCAAAAAACCCTCAAAAGGGCAGACTAGATGGATCACTAGGTCTTTTTCTGAAACACAGAACAATTTTCTGTGTTCTATGTTATAGGAAACTAGGAGTGGAGTTTTGTATGGAATGACACTTAAACCTTGTTCTTGTGCTGACCAAAAATTTCTAGACTCCATATCATAGGCATCCTGCTCTTAAATTTCAGCACAATTTTCAGGAAATATTCAGTGGGCTGGACCAGGGGTGTCCAACCTTTTGGACCTCAGGGACCACCAAGCTCATAATTTTAAATCCAGTGGACCACTGGGAGAGAAGGCTCAGCCGCCATTCGGGCTTACCTGTCTGCTTCTGCGAGGCCTTCAGGTGGGAGGTCCGAGAGAAAGTGCCTGGTCCAGGCACACAGCCTGGAAAACCTCTTTTGTGTTCCTTCTCTCAAGAAGCTTGGTCAATCTGAGTGAAGGAAAACTAAGACGGGCAGACTGACGGTGGCTTGCTGATGTTGGTGGCCAGTGCACCCTGGTGGAGGAGCTGCTCCAGGATGACCAAAGGGCCAGTCCTGTGACTGCCACAGCTCTGGAATATGGGACCGGGCTGTGATGGGGCTGGAAATCTCTGCCATAGGGGGTGGCACGTGCAATGTGCAACTTTGCAGGTGGTGCAATATGCAAAAAGGAGCACAGCCCTTGCTGGCCGGAACGAGATAATGGTGCTGTTACGGAGGATGAGGCTGGGTGGGTGCCCCAAGCAGGCTGAAGTGGCGGTGGTGATGGCTGGAAGATGCAGAAGTGAAGTGCTACTTGCATTTGCATGGCATCAGCATTCCGCCTTCACCATGGTATATTTGTGCCAGCTGGTGGCACCAAGGCAGCCCTTGTTTCCTGCCGTTTGGGGCTCAGAGTGGTAAACCGCATCCAGGAAGCACTACAGCCTTTTTCCATCTTATCATTTCTTCCCTACATTACAGTACACTGTTCATAACTGTCCTATTTTAAATTTAATCAGCATCAACCTGGAATCTTAACCGGTGCACCATTACTAGTTTTTGCACAACATAATCAAGAGAATCCAGTAAAGAAAGCAAAGCTAACAAATCTCAGTTCCCTGCTTCATGCTAAATTTCTTTTAAGAATTTCTACTCATTCCAATTTTAAATGTATAGGCATATTCATGCCTGGGATTTATCCACCAAAACAATACAAAGAGAAGTCTTTAAAGCCCGGTGTTTCTAAATCTTTGTTTTTAAATCGCACAAGCAAAAAAAAGCAGGTTGGAAGCAAATGGAGGACTTGGGAAAGTAATGGTTGGGGGCAAAAAATCAATGAGAAAAACAGAGACGTCCAGAAAGGGACTGCCGATGTAAAATAATTTTGAAAAATCACAGTCAAAAGGGATTTGGGCAACTAACACTGGAAAAGCCAGCTTTGGAAAGCGCCAGCTGGGTACAAAAAGAGGAAGGGGTTCCCCCCCCCCCAGAAAGAGGTACAGGGAAAGAAGGGGAAAGAGCCAGTCGGCTTTGTGTGTTAAAAGTCAGGCAAAGATACCTCAAGGATATATCCAGGAGAAGGAGGAGGAGGTTTCCTCCTCCTGGAACCGGTGCTGCTCTTCCTTTTCTTCCCGGCTGTAGCCACCCAACCTCTGAAGATCCTGTATTTTCACCTCATTGAAAAGGCTAGCTGGAGGCAGAAGGATGGAAGGGGTGGCGAGGGCTTTTTGGGGTCCCCCTCATGGGAGATGGCTTGAAGTAGATGAAGGGCTTGGCTTGGCATACGAGAGCCAGCACTGGGGTTGATCTGCCGGCTGGAGGGGAACTGCTGCGGGGGACTGATGAGGGGGCGTTTGGTTCTCGGAGCGGTAAACCACATCAGGAAGCACTTACAGCAGAGAGAAGCAGCTGGAGTCAACCCTGGCTTTGCTGTCCATTGCAGACTTTAGATCGCCCCCCTGCAAACTCTCATCTCTCGAGGAGCCTGGCCAAAGTTTCCCGTGCCGCTTCAGCAAGTGCTCCTTGAGAGACGAGAGTTTGCAGGGGGGCGATCTAGCGTCTGCAACGGACAACAAAGCCAGGGTTGACTCCGGCTGCTTCTCTCTGCTAACAGGTGGCCAAGCTAACTGCCTGAAGGACCAATCCTGTCTCTGGGAGTCAAAGCGCTGAAGCACGAGCGGCGCAGGAAACCTTGGCTGGGCTTCTCGAGAGAAATGCGACAATTTCTCTGCGCACCACCAAAATTTTCTTGCAGACCACTGTGACCACTGGTCTGGATGACTTCTGACAATCTAACCCCTTCTTTTATTGTAGCTCTATTTTTACAGAGCATTTACATTTACTAGTACTGTGCTGTGCTTTCAACCAGCCATGCTGTATCATCTTGTGAATCACCCAAGAAGTGTTTTTTCATCATTGCCAGCTTGAAGATGTGTGGACTTCAAATCTCACAATGCCACAATCTATTCTGGAAGTTTGAAGTCCATACATTTTGCCAAGGTGAGAATTTTTTTGCTTTGGAAGAAACTCTAGTCATCTTTTTCTAGAAGCCACAAATCTTCTATGCAATCTGGCAGATGAACTCTTCCCAAAATATGAATGTAGGGAGGGAGCACTACCACTACAAGAAAAACTTGTAGAGAGCACAATTTTATATGGACAGATTCCCCCAGTTGTGGTTTTGTCCTACTTGTGGTTGGGGATTTGCAATACCAAAATGTGCTTTTCCAATGCATTATATCAAAATACTCACTTTACATCCAAATAAACATGGGATGCTTTATTAGAGATTGTGAAGTATATTGCAGTCTGTTTAGTTATTTTCAAATGAAATGCTGTTGCTGCGAAACCTTTGGCTTGTTTTTAATCTCATAGTGATGAAGGTGCTGGCCTAGAAATCAGGAGACTGTGAGTTCTAGTTCTACCTTAGGCACAAATGGTGGTTTATCTCTCAACTTAATCACCTCACAGGGTTGTTGTGGAGAAAATAGGAAGGGGGAAGAGTGTTGTGTATGTTCACCACTTTGAGTTACTTATAAAGTAATAAGGGTGGGATAAAAATCAAATAGCAATAGCACTTAGACTTATATACCGCTTCACAGTGCTCTCTAAGCAGTTTACAGAGTCAGCATATTGCCCCCAACAATCTGGATCCTCATTTTACCGACCTCGGAAGGATGGAAGGCTGAGTCAACCTTGAGTCTGGTGAGATTCGATCTGCCAAACTGCTGGCAGCCGGTGATCAGCAGAAGTAGCCTGCAGTACTGCACTCTAACCACTGCGCCACCGCGGCTCATCTAAATAATAAATTAGTAATTTTTTTTACATTACATTTCTAATCTTTGGAGTATATTGCTTCACAGTTAAGAATAAGCTAAGCATATAGTTCTATTAGTTTTTACTTAATCATAAAAATGCTTTGCAAATGGTTTATAATTTTTGTTGTTGTTTCTTAAAGGAAAACGCCAGATCCATCATTTAGGGAACCAGCTGCAACTAAATCAACATTGTCTTGATACAGCCTTCAACTTTTTCAAAATGGCAGTGAGCAAGCACTTAACCCGTGGGAGGAAGATGACCCATGTCATAGCAGCATGCCTCTACTTGGTGTGTAGGACAGAAGGCACTCCACGTATCCTTTCACTGTTTTGGCAATCAGACCATTTCAAAATGTCTTGGATATTTCTAGAATTTTATGAATAGAAGATTGTTTTCATATCTTTAAGAAAACAATAGGAAACCATTCCAAATTGGATAAATGTAAACAATTGATGGAGATAATTAATTGGTGGGAATTATTAGATTTAATGGCAGTTAGGAAAAGGTATGGATCGGACACAGGCTATCTGATTAGTTTATATCGCAATGTGATTATTTTTCAGGAGAATCTACATCTGTGACCAATATTATAGTTCTAAACACATGACCAGTTCCGGTCCTGTATAGACATAGTTAAGAATGATTAAATAAAAGATGTAATTATCTTTTACATATGCATTCTAATTATAAAAATTGTGTAATTGATCTGGAGTCTAGTCAAGAGTTTGTCCTTTGCGTTAAAACTCTGCTTCTGCTGAGCAAATGGTTTATTGTTTGTACCTTATTCTGTTTTAATTTCGTAAATCTGCTTTTCCTGTAGCATTTTCTTCTTTTGTTCGATTTCTGGGTATGTTTCCATTATTCCACATTATTTTTGTTATTAGTGAAATTAGATTCTGATGTCCAGACAGATAAGACATCAGGGTAATTTGAGACAAATATGAAGACCATATTCTTTACAAATATATAATAAGCAAAAAACAATCCTGCAGGAATCTCATTGAATTGAAGGTGAAAAAAAATAAAACAGGAAAAGGAAAGGTAGATACAAAATTAATATAAAGAACTATAGGAAATATTATAGAAGACAAAATAATAATAAAAAAGATGTGTTGTACCTAACACATCAGAAGTTGGGAAAAATTTAAAAAATATACCAAGAAGGAGAGAACAGAGAAACTAGTGGTGGTTGAGTAGAGAAAGTGAATTTATTACATTATCATTGATTTATCACATAATCCATGGAAAAATGTTATTGATCTACTCGTAGAAAAATTTTAGGTGGTTTGGCTATTGGCAATCATTTCTGCTTTTAAAATTCTCCTTGATCCAACAAACCATTCAGAATATGGGGCCTTTTACCCCTCCTCATTTTCAGATAGGCTGTAGCTTAAAACTATTTCCCTCCCGTTGATTGCACCATTTCTGGGGTTAGATACCCTTTTCTCTCTACTTGAATTCTAAGGCATCCAAAAATACTTGAATTTGCACACAAGTTCATGCATCCCAGGGTTGTTAGATGTGGCTCTTAGGGCTAGAGTCCCTCAGACTGGGAAGTCTCCAGAGGACTGCTGAAAAAGTAGGTGATAACATGGCAAGAATGCCTGTTTGCCACTAGAATGCCACTATTGATATATTGGAGCTTGACAGAACCTACCTTCCTTCCTTCCTTCCTTCCTTCCTTCCTTCCTTCCTTCCTTCCTTCCTTCCCTCCCTCACTCACTCACTCACTCACTCACTCACTCCTTTGAAATAGACTTTTTCGCTTGTTACAGCAAACCTTATAAATTATTGTATCAGCTTTTCTGGAGAAAAAAGACTATTCAGTTCCGTATCAGATACTGATTTTCCTTAAGTTAATGCATTTCACATTAGAAAGCAAACTTTGTTACAATTCATTTTTTTAATATCTATTTTAAAATGTAAACTACATTGATTTAAGATTTGTTTGCTGCTTTTCTTCAGAATGTTTGAAATATAGAAACATTTTAAAATATTCATTGCCAGTAGTGTTGTGAATAGTATTAAATGTGTACTTTACAGTGTACAAATAGCCCCCTATATTATATTGCAAGTTTGTTCTGTAAGACTTCACATGGTTCTATTTACCCGCCATGTTGCCAGGTGTCTGGATTTATGTAGTGCCAGACATAATGTTAGCTGCTTGTGAGGAGAACCTCTTCTTCATGTGGCAGGTCAGCTTTTGATCTACCCAAGATAATTTTTGCAGGTGTGAGAGATTTTTCTTGCTTTTTTATTCTGTATTTTTGTCTATGGTTTGACTGGTTTTTCCACTTTTATAATTTGGATAATAAATTGAAATGCCATATAAGTAGCAATTACCAGTTAGCTAGTATATTTTAGTTAGGGTTTCCAAGAGGGACAAACAACAAACTTTCCTCAGTTAAAAGAGAAATGTCTTATTTTAACAAGAGATAGCATTGCAGAAGTTGTCAGGGGGACTTTTCAAAAGAGAGCCATTCATCATTTTAAAAATATTTCCATATGTCTGGCGGTGCGGCTGTTATATATGCTCTCTTTTTTGACAGATGGAAATATTTAAAAAATATTTTATGAAATAATATTAGCATTTTAATATTATTTTATTGGCATAAACCGCTTCAGTTTTCCCCTTGCATTTATCTTGACATCTGGTCCTCAGAAAGAGGTAGTACATGAGAGAGGCCATCTGGCTTAGTGATTTATGTGATTCTGTTACATAAACTCAAACAGTTAGTGGAATAGATGATAATTTTGTGAACATGGGCAAGCTGGATATATTAGAATGACTTCACTTGTACAGAGTTCCACTTAATATTCCTGCTTCCTTGCTTTTTCCCAATATGTTGGCTGCTTTTGTTACGGTGGATATGTCATTTAATTAGAATCAAATCTTATGGAGAATTAGGGAAGCAGTCTCTCTTCCTGGGCAGCTAGCTACATAGAAGCATACCTATAGAGAGGGAATAGTATTTTAATGGTTTTCATATTGAAAGGCTCCATGCTCAGCCTCTAGTACAGGGGTGTCAAAACTTGACCTAAGGGGGCCGGGGTGGGCGTGGCCAGCTTGACATCACTCGTGTCAGGGGTACCTGTGACGGCCCGAGTGCTCTGGCAGCGAAAATGGAGCTTGGGAGGGTTTATACACGGCCCTTTTTCCATTTTCGTTAGCAGAGGCCCCCGTGGGCCAGTTCTTCACTGACTCAGATCTAACTATCCAGCGGGCCGTATCCAACTCACAGCCCTTGATTTTGACACCTCTGCTCTAGCATCCTCCAATTAAACAGATCAGAGATCAAGTAGTGGACAAGATATTTGCAAAAGTTTTGGACAGCTGTTGCCAAGCAAAGTGGACTGTGATCCTGACAAAAGAGAATATTTGTAATGTACAGATGATCTTTGGAGTCCTTGGAGCTCTCTGAGCTTGGTTGTTTTCTTGGTTGTTTCATTACCAAACTAGGTAACGAATCAGTGCTAGGAGAGTGGAGTTTGTTTTCTTTTTATATACTAGGGCCCTGTCAGTATTGGTGGGAGTGTTCTTGGTGCTTTCTTGATTAGGCTGTTGTTTACTGTTGCCTTGCTTGTTTGAATTGGTATTTCTTTGATTAGGGTATGGTTTACTTCTAAATTGTTGTCTTTGTATTAATCTTGATGTAAATCAGCTTGTTAATGGCTAATTTGTCTGTGTCCCAGTTTCCAGGAACTCTGTAGTGGTTTTGGACTTGGCTTGGTCTAGAATGCTCACAGTTTCCCATTTGAAACTATGGTTAAGTCTGTTCATAGAGATAAACAACATCTACATACCATTCAAAAGAGACAATCAAAGAATGAAAAAGGGAATAAAAAAACTAAAACACCTCTTCACCAGCAATTAACACTAGACAAATGGTCTGGTCTGTTGAAAGGTTCCTATGATTCTTCAATCACCGTGCTTAATAATGCATCTTACTGTGTGAAATGAGAAGTCATATGCTTATTCCATGTACCATATTTTTCGGACTATAAGATGCTATGAAGTATAAGATGTACCTAGCTTTTGGGAGGAAAACAAGGTGGAAAAAAATCTGCCTCTGCCTCCCAGCAATTTACCTCCTTGCAGCAAACAACAAACAGCCTAGTCAGCTTCAGCACAGCCTGATTTATCACAAGCAGCTGATTGGTGATTGGATCGGCCTCCCTGAAAACCACCTATCAGCTGTTCCAGGCTATGTGGATCATCACTGCCCGTTGCTGCTGCCGCCTATCACCACATCTGTGCACCCCATTTTTGGCCTCCGTGCGTCTTGTTTTTGTCCTGTTCCAGGTAGCGGGGATCGCTGCCACTGCCTTCAATCCCCGCCACCTGGAATGGGGCCCACGGAGTCTGAAAATGGGGCGTGTGGAGGTGGCAATAGGCAGCAGCAGGGATGGGCAGTAATAGACTGTGGCGATCCCTGCAGCCTAGAACAGCTGATAGGTGGTATTCCGGGAGGCCGATCTAACCGCCAATCAGCTGCTTGTGCTAAATCAGGCTGTGCTGAAGCTGACCAGACTGTTTGCTGTTTGCTGCAAGGAGGTAAATTGCTGGGAGGCAGAGACCGAAGGGTGGGGGCTGGCAGGTGAACAGGGCTTTGGCAACATTCATTGTATAAGACGCACAGACATTTCCACCCACTTTTTTTGGAGGGGGGGAAAGTGCATCTTATATACAAAAAAATACGGTATATCTAAACCTCATGCACCCCCCCCAAAAAAAGGTGTTGTACCTTACAATTCTTGATGAATGTATCTTTTCTTTTGATATACACTGAGAGCATATACACCAAAGACAAATTCTTTGTGTGTCCAATCACACTTGGCCAATAAAAAATTCTAAAATATAACTTCTATGAATTTGTATATTTATTGCATGCCTTCAGAGTATAGCCTGTGTCTTTAATATCTTGGGAATGAAATACTTTTAATTCTTTGCTAGACTTTCAGAAAGCAGGTTCATCCCTAACACTTTTCTTGTCTCAAAGGTAAGGCTTTGGCAAGTGTCTTCCATTGATCAGTTGATCTGTTGGTTTTGGATCCTGACTATCTCTGCAATGGATTTTGATAATACTCAACCTGTTCTGGGACTTGATCCTATTGGATTTCCCATTTACATGTTATTTGACTGTTCTGAATGTGGATAACTTCTGGCCTAAAATTTTGCTGACTTCAAAGGCTTCACTAAGAAGCAATCTTAAATCATAGTAATATGGTTTAGAACATGCTGGATGAGGAATTCTAGGAGCCGAATCCATAAAACTTAAAGTTACCAAGGTTGAGAAACACTTGTCTAGAAGA